ACCGAATGTTTGCGAAACTCTTTGATGTCTTTTAACACGACTTAATCTCCATTCATTTGGTTTCTCGTATTTGTTGTATAATGGTTGGATCTTTTCACCTCGTTTGCGTTTACTGATTGTATTTGCGTCAGCAACCTTGAAGAACGTAGGCGCAGCTTCAGTGAGCCACTTGGGTTCAATAGCAGTGATTTCTCTCATATATTCTTTAGTTGTCATCACTAGTTCGTGATATATAACCCTAATTAATAAAAATAAATTATTAATTTGTGAATTCTTCGAAAATTAACATAAATAAGGATAATAACTGCTCACCATTCTGGACCCTTATTAAATAATGCACTGGAAGGATGTATATACACCGGAGTTCCTTCAACTAATGTCTTGTAACCTTCTTGGGGATCTTTCTTTGCTGCATGACGGAAAAATCCTCCACAAATTGCTCTACGAACTTTGTTATAATTTCTACCACACGAAATAATGTCTTGTTTATATCGATCCATGATACCCAGTAATTGTTTGCGAATATCTTGACACCGTTTCATGCTTCGTCCTTGAATGAAATTTTCAAAACACCAAGCATTCGAAAATTTACTAGCTTTCCATGCATTATAGACGGTCAAAAGGGTTAGATGATCCCCTTCAGGTTGATGAAACTTTGCTTTCTTTTGGTCAGCAATGGCTTGCTTTTCTTTAGGCCTATAAAAGACGTTTTGAACAGAAAGCATCGCGACTATTGTAAGAATCTCATCAGAACAACCAAGATCAACTGCGAGAATCAACATCTTCGATAGTGGCGGTTCCAAAGGAAATTCTGCCATTTTACGACCCAATCTTGTCAGCAGGCCTTCATCATCCAAGGCGGAGAGAGCATAAAGCTGTTCTAACGCAGTAAGAAGTGTTTGAACAGGTGGGGGGTCCATAAAATCAAAATGTAATAAATCGTTAATTCCCATAGCTTTGAGTGTTAATACAGTATGGGCGAGATTTGTTCGCTGAATTTCGGGTACTGGATTTGGAAGCATTTCATTCCTATATGCAGCCTCCGTGTAAAGTCGATAACATCTAAATAGTATTAAAATGTGTCATTATACAATATTCATAATGCAATATTTGAAAAAAATCATTTTTATTTACAATTATAAAACGTACTTTCCAGGTCCTGTACGGCCCGCACGGCCAGAGCGTTGTCTTGCTTGTGCTTGAGAGATAGGCTAAGAAAATAAAGTTAATAAGGAACGAATAAATATTAAACATTAATCTTTTGATTAATGAGAATACCTACAGTCACAATAAGAGAATCCATTCCGACTTTAGCATCATATGCATTTTGTTTTACAAACCCTGGATCTACAACATAGTAGATACCATCAATAGTGATTGAAGTTTCTGCTATATTTGTCGCTATAACTACTTTACGACTACCAGGAGGTGCAGGTTCAAAAATACGAGATTGCATTTCACTTGGTAAAGCGGAATACACTGGCAATATCACTAGATCTGGAACTTGTGGGCCGAGGGCTTTCATACGCTCGTAAAGAATTTCACACGCTGTGTCAATCTCTTCCTGACCCGTCAAAAAAAGAAGAATATCACCTGGTGGTTCTGAAAGGTGAATTTGCATGACGGTAATCAATGCAGCATCTAAATAATCAGTTTCTGGTTCTTTGGTGTAGAGAACCTCGACCGGGAAGTTTTGGCCAGGAATAGTGAAAATCATACAATTATAGAAGTATTTTGAAAATTTTTCAGCATTCAACGTAGCTGAAGTGACAATTACTCTAAGTTCTTGTCGGTTCTTAAGAGTTTCTACATTATTAGAATTAAGAATAATTAGTTGATGAAATGTAATTATAATATAAAGCTTAATTATTAAACAAGTAATATAACTCACTTTTAAGTAAACCAAATAACACATCGGTGTTTATAGTCCTTTCGTGTGCCTCATCCAAAATAATAACAGAATATTGGGTTAAATTAGGATCCAGTAAACATTCTCTGAGTAATGTACCATCAGTCATATATTTAATTTGTGTATTTGGACTAGTACAGTCCTCAAAACGAATGGTATAACCGACTTCTTCTCCCAATCGACAACCGACTTCTTCAGCCACACGTTTCGCCACTGACATTGCGGCAACACGACGAGGCTGAGTGCATCCGATTTTGCCACGAGCTGCGAATCCTTCTTCAACAAGGTATTGTGTCATTTGTGTTGTTTTTCCTGACCCCGTATCACCTACTATAATTAGTTGTTGATTCTAATGCGAAAAAAATATTCCTTAGCACCCATTAAGAATATATGTGTATACGTAAACGTTAAATAAAAGTATTCCGTACCTCTTTAATAGCATTAATCAGTTGTGTACGCATTTTATATATAGGTAAGCTCTGTCGTTGTTCTTGAATGGATAATGATGTGACCTTGCCAAAACTGGTCGCTTTATTGAAGGTTTCTCTTTTCCATTCGGGTACTTCTCCAGCCTTGCGACCAGCAGCAATTCCTCTTAAATCTTGAGCAAAATGACGTTCACCTGGTTCGGGCATCGGATCTAACCAAGGGATATTTATATCTTTTGGGACTGAATCTAATTCTGCATTCGCTTGCTGCGTACTAAAAGATAAATGATAAGATTGTAATTAATTTAGAAATAGAATCAAACACGTTGAAATATCATCAGTTTCTGATCAACGATTAGATTCAAAAAACCATGCGCGAAATTGTAAAAATTCAAACCAGAAATAAGAAAACACGTGCGCAAATAACAATAAATGTAGCCCTCCGGATTTTTATTCTCTTTTTAGTATTAATCTAACTGACACTATCCTGACATTAGCATACGAATATTTGTTTTTTTACCCTGCATTACCCTCATGATTTGATTAGTTGATCATAAGACTGACAATATCATTATATATATATATATTGTATAAGATTAAATACATAATAAATAAATATTAGATCAAGCACTTACCGTAATTCTCTTCGCTCCTTCGCTAATGAGGCACCTGCAAGAGCGGCACGGTTCAGGGTACCATCTGGAGCTTTGACTACTTTAATTGGACTTAATTGCATTGTATGCTTAGTTTGTCCCCTTAAAAATGGAGGTTCATCCTCTCGAATCTCAATATCTAATTCTTCTTCTGTTTCCATGCTCTCGATAAATCCTTGTCCTTGATCTTCATTATAATTTGACAGTTCAGATGCACTTAGAACACCTGATGCTATAAGTTGTTTAAGCTCCCAACGCTCTGGTGAAGAGAGTCGTTTAAGGCTATTTGGTCCATCGTTGTCTTCAATTATTGGTACTTTTCCAAAAGAGAATGGGCGGTCAGGATTACGAGAGATCTCGGCCAAAAGTTCCTACAATTTATTGTTGAAGCATTAGTATAAATGTTTTTAAATGAGATAATTAATTGAATTCATACATCATCAGTTTTTACGCGCAAATGTGGAGTCAAATCCCTTCCTGTTTCTTGATCAACATCTTTCATAGATAAACTTATCCTGGAAGCGGCCACAGACATTACTTTTACTTTGACCCTCTCATTTCGAGACACAACTTCTGACGGATGCGAAACCCTACCACCAGTAACGAGCATGCTTACGTGAACCATACCTAATAATAAATTTAGACTATGGAATAATTAAAGAAAAATGAAAATAAAGGTTTACAAAGTTATTAAAATAACAAACCTTCTACTCTTCCTTTGACGCCTTCTAGACAAACAAAAGCACCAAAGTCTTTTAATTTTGTCACTTTTCCATTATAAATTTTATATAACATGGGTTTCTCATCCAAATCCTCCTTCTTGTCCCGCCCATTACGGTCACGATACTGATCTCTGCTCGAATCTCTAGTTCTATCCCTGGCTCTATCCCTGTCACGATCTCTAGTTCTTCCACGTACAGGACTATAACTTCTACTTCTATTACGTCTCCGTGGACTACGTGATCTTGACCTTCTACGTTTTGGAGAATGTGAGCGACTTCTGCTACGACTCCGTCTGTGTTTTCTGGTATTCTCTTTTTCTAATGCTTCTAATTTTTTAGAGCGGAGAAGACTTTCTAAGCCTTCTAATTGAGTCATTGCTTCAGTGGCAACTTTTACGTCCTCCTTGTTTTTAAGAGCCTAGAACAAATTTATAAATTAAGTATATATATATATATATATCAAAATAATTAATATAAATATATTTACGGCTTCTGGATCATCAGGTAATGCCAGACCAGGGAAAAGTCTAGCTTTCTCGTCCATACTATAGTTGTTCGTAGTATCACCATTAACTGATGAGTCCGGTTCTTTGCCTTTGTTTTTATATTTTGGATTCATTTTTTGGATCAAACGATCCAAGTTTGCTATGAAAGACTCAGGAAAGTCAGCCCCAGCATCTGTCAAAGCTTTTTTGAATGCAGATAAAGATCTATTTTGTTCGTGAAGGTGGATCACAAATTCGGCTGTAATAAAGAGTAGGTAACAACGCAAATGTTAATATATTTTTTAAAGCAAGTACGGAAAATTTGATTGATCCATACC